CGGCACGTACAGTTATAAATTTAGTTTGGGCGTTAAAATAAAGGCTTTGTTTTTTAGTTTTCCGAATATTTTACAATACGTCGGAATCCAGCGCCAGTTTTGCGCGTTGACTCGCGTCGTCTCTTCCAAGTGCGCGAATTCTATTTGTCCGATCTAGGTCGCATTAATACTACAGTAAGTGCACATATTTTTGTAATCGATTAATACTTTCTTCAAATTATCTGTATTTTTCGTATATCTTTTTGCTTTGTAGAACATCGATGTGGATATTTCTGACCCCGGCATCTCAAAAGAAATGTATAATATTGCGCTGAAATTGATTATTGTTATAGATAACATCGAGAAACAGGAAGCTGCTGTTTCAGCCGAAATAAGCCCACTGCCCCAAACATCTATACTTATTTTTTTGCCCGGTATTAACGAAATCGATCAAATGTGCAGCAAATTGGAATTACTTAGCGAATCTGATGAGTATGTATATTTTTCAGTATATCAAAACTTAACAAAAAAAAAACTCTGTAATCTTTTTCTTTTTAGAAACAATGTAAAACTCTTTCCCATACGTTTGCATTCGTTGATTTCACCAGATGAACAAAATAAAGTATTTAACAACCCACCAGGCGGTTTTCGTAAGGTTATATTGGCTACAAATATTGCAGAAAGTTCCATAACTGTGCCCGATGTTAAATATGGTAAGTAAAATACATAACAATACATTACGTGTCCTAAAAATGTTTATTAATTCCTCATTCCTTTAAAGTCATTGATTTTTGTTTAACTAAATCTCTTATCACCGATACCGCAACCAACTTCTCTTCTCTGCAATTGCACTGGGCATCACGCGCTAATTGCCGTCAACGTGCTGGACGTGCGGGTCGTGTGATGAATGGCCGTGTATATCGAATGGTCTCGAAGAATTTTTATGAAGTATGTACATTTTTGGACTGAACTTATAAATTATTTAAAATCTTACAAATACTTTAGCACTATATGGAAGAATTTGGCACCGCAGAAATGTTGCGTTGTCCGTTGGAAAACGCTGTACTCAAAGCCAAACTACTTGATATGGGACCACCTCCTGATATACTCGGTCTGGCCATGACACCACCAAATCTTTCCGATATACACAATACTATATTAACACTTAAAGAGGTGGGTGCTCTTTTTACGACAGTGAATGGTGTTTACTCCATACAAGATGGTGATTTGAGTTTTATGGGACGCGTGATGGCAGGCATGCCGCTAGATATACGTCTTACGCGGCTCATATTGCTAGGCCATATATTCAGTGCATTGGAAGAGTCCATAATAATGGGTAGATTTATACTTTATAAATATTTAGTTTATTTTTTCCTAATGTTTAAAATGATGATTTTTGTAGCTGCCGGCTTAAGCGTGCGTTCGATTTTAAAGTCTGGACACGATAATCGTGGTCAGGGCGAAGCGGATGCATATAAACAAAAACTAATATGGGCTGACGGCTCTGGTTCGGATCTATTTGCTATCTACAGTGCTTATAGGGTGAGTTTTTTTTTATCACAACGTCATTTGATTACCCACTTAAACTGCTTTTATTTGTTTTCTTAGCTTTGGGCTACACAGCGTGAACAACATAACATCCACCATGAAGAAAACGAGTATGAATGGGCCAAGCGTCACTTCGTTAATTTGCGTTCAATGAAGGAAATGCATTTGCTTGTCACAGAATTACGTGATCGTCTACAGGCTTACGGCATCCGTGAACAGACTACATATCAGCGTGTTTGTTGGGTTGAACGCGAAAAGACAATTATTTTGAAAATCATTATTGCTGGCGCATTTTATCCTAATTATTTCACACGCTCCAACTTAAATGATACTGAACGTGAACGTGGTATTTACCACACTCTATGTGGCAATGATCCCTGCAATACGGTATACTTTACTGGCTTTAATACACGCCACATTGGGCAGCTCTATGCGAGTTCAATTAAAGCCCTGTTTCGTAGTGTGTGGATAGATCCTAAAAATATCGAAGTGCGTTTTCAAACAGGCGCAGAACGGGTGTTTGTCACATTCAAAAAAGATCTCGAAAATGATGCGGAAGATAGCGCCTATAGATTAGTTGTGCCAGGGCGTGTAGTACCCGAGGTATATATGGCCGTGCGCATGCGTATGCTCGGCATGCGTACCACTATACGTGTTATGGAGTAAGTATAACGACAAAGTGATCTAATTTAAAATAAAATCTTCCAATTTTTTTAATTAAATTTCTTAAAGCCCTCGCAATGAAGTGAGATATGCAGAAGAGCGGCGTATTGGCACGATGGTTGAGGGTGTTTGGCAGCCTACTAAAAAGCAAATAAAAAATCCCGAATTGGTGGTATTGCCGTCAGTGTTCCAAAAAATGATACGAGGTTATATTACACATGTACGAATGCCGCTTCCTGTGTATTTGTTTACTCGTCTGTGTAATAATTACAAATGATTTTTTTTTTAATATGCGCATTTAGATTGTTAACTGCAGCAAATTCTATTTTCAACCACTCTCTGAAATGGAACGGTTACGTGAAATTCATGCACTACTGAATAATCCTGAAGACTTAGAGCGTGGTCGTTTTAAGAGTCCTGCAGCTATATCTAAAGGCATGATGGTGGCGGCACCTTTTGAAAATAAATACCATCGCGCAAAAGTGGTAAAAGTGTTGACTGCAGCTCGCCAGTATTGCCAGTTTAAGGTAATTTAACATACAATTTTTCTAAAGGAAACTGAAAGCTAAAAAGTATGAGTGAAATAACTTACAAATGTTCTGCTAATAGCGCTCATAAATGTTCTAAAGCTGGGCGACTACGAGCTATGTTCGATAATTTTTTGTTATTTAATTTAGAAGATATAGCAAAGATATCCTTCAAATTATATATGATCATTGATCACTCATCATTTTTTAGGTTTTCTTCGTCGATTACGGCAACACGGATGTAATAGATTTCGAACAACTGCGCCGCTTCTCCTATCGCTGTGAGTCGCTCATTGACATACCGCCACGTATGTTTGAAAGCCGCCTAGTCATGGTGGAGCCGTCATCGGTAAAATCACCCAGCGGTAAATGGCCCGATGAAGCTATGGAATTCATGCAACAGACAGCCGATGCTGGCGTTGTAGAAATTGAAATCTACTCAGTGGTTGCTGGCGTTTCGAATGTCATTATAAAAACTGCTACAGGCACGCTTAATGACATACTGGTTGAGAAGGGCTTTGCACAAAAATCAGATGAGAATTATATGTCCAAGGTTGGTTACTGCGATGCTGGCAATCTAATTAATTCTTAACGGCTTTTATTTTCATTACTTACATTTTCGAATTTATAGGCCGATCATGATTTTCGCTTGCGAAAGCAATCTGTTGCTACACGTTTTCTTGACGAAGACCATTCCAAACAAAATGAAGAATATTTGCGTTCAATACAACCAGAGGCTGATTTGGAAGTCGATCCACCACCGCGCGAATATTGCACGAAATCCATTAATTTGCGTGGTCCTTATAGTGCGTTGGAAACGAAGATTTTTTCGGCTGTGCGTATAGGTACCTGGAAGAGTGTGAATGTCGAACGTGATTCGGTGAATTCGGTATTGATCGATACAGATCCACAAGATGTCCATGAGCGTCTCATAGTGGCGGCTAGTATAACGGAGGCACAGAATGCAGAAACACTTACAGCACGCGCCACAACACTGATGCCAAATATACACGGTTTTGGTGCACTAATGACACTGCTCTTCAGTCCGACTATGCAGATAAAACGAAATAGTAATAAGACAAAATATGTTGCCATTTTGGCGGGTTTGGGTTACAACAAAGAAACCTATAAGCCACTCTATGAAGAGCATGATATTGTTTTGAATTTGGATGCTGACATATTGAAGGATGATTTGGAGTTGGTTAGTAAAAATTGCTCTTGATAGCTATGTTATTTACATAATTATAAAATCGCTAACGTATTTTCAATGAAACTTTTTTTTTATATTTTTAGATCAATCAATTACGTTACTGCATGGACACAATTTTGTACACCGATCCAGGTGAAGAGCGTCCAACCATTTTACCAAGTAATCGCGCTTATCTAGCAGCTAAAATTAAGAACTTAATTGTCAGGTAAGGCCGGCGCGAAGATAAAATATTACAGAAATATTCACAATATTTTGACATAGAATGTTAATATGTATTTATATTTTCGTTTCAAATAGTTCTTTTTATACAATTTCGCTCACTTTCTTACACTTCTCGGTTTCAGTATTCAAATTAAGAAATATTTATGTGCGAGGAGGGTTACTGTGCTTAATTGTTTACTTTTACTTCGATTTCAGACTGCTAAACAAAAATCGCAAATACATTGAGACTCATGTAGATAGTTACGATAATGTCTGGCAACGTTACGATCCGGAAGATGTAATAGAATCCGAACCTATTTATGGACATCGCTCCCTGTTCCCCGTGCATTCTGCACTTAAGTTGTATGATGAGAAATTCGATCGCATACATGCATTGGGTGTACACTGCCAGGAGCTGCATCGATTGCGTCAATTGTAAGTTGCGATAAATTTTCCTCAAAAAGGTACAATTAGACTATAACTTAGCATACTTTCTATTTTAGTGATGGTGCCATACAACCGCTCACTTGTCAGCTATGCAATCAATCTTTGGAAAATATTGTGCAACTGCGTATACATTTGCTTTCACAGTTACATCGTGATCGCGAGCATCAGATACGTTTCAAGATGCCGCGTTAAGTTGCATGGCTGTGAATTATTTTTACTGATAAAACGAAAAGCATTCGTTTATAAAACTTCAAATGGATATATAATTAGTTTTAAGTTTTTTTCTATTATTGACGATTTCGGTTTATAACTGTTTATTAACCGGATAAAAAAAAAACAAATGTAGGGATTTATAAAGCTTACTGTGCAAATAGTTGGCACATTGAATTAAAAAGTGAATTTGTTTTTTTTTTTTCATTCAACTTACTACTCATCATTAGATCATCATCTGAATTTATTATATTTTCTCATTAATTTTTGTTTCTAGTTTTATTTTATTAATAAAAGTGCAATTCTACAATCATATATACTTATATGCATATGCAAACATACATTCTTACACACATCAATTTTTAAAACTGAGACAGTGAACCTAGTGCTGTCCGCATTGTCTAATCACCGTTTCGGTATAGTTATGTCTCAATTCTGCATGCAGAGCGTATAATTCTGTAATGTATTTAACGGTTTGCTACAGAGTCCACACATTTTGCTCTTATAGAGTCCGTAAATTTCGAAATTTAACACGTTGGATAAATCGAATTGTATGGTTGAGTGCATTTGCGCGTTCTCCACAATGAGTATGTTATGCTCGGTCAATTCAACGCTACAAGAACCAAAAAAAAGGCGAATAAAAACAAAATTAATTAAGCGAAAGTTTGCTCTTATACTCACTGAAAATCATAGTCGCTCACATCCACGGGATATTGATATGATTTTTCACGCAAATTTATCGTCGTCTCATTATTATTAACGGTGATATAAATGGGCGCATCATCCTGCAGTTTAGTTTGGTTATCCACCGGTCTAAAGGTGAAATAATTTTGTCCAATATAAACACGCAGGCCATAATTGGCACTTAAACCGCTCACCGGCGAAGGCAGCAAAAATACAGCCATCTCTGGTAATGCCGAACAATCGGCTGCCAGCAGCGTTTGACAGTGCTTTGCCACAGTCACTTTGGTGGTTTCGCTCAAATTGATTAGATAATCATCGAAGGTGTTAATCATGCCATTTATTACCGAGCAGGATCCTGCAAAGCCAAAAGTTGTATGGAATTTTCTATATCTGCCGATTGTTCTTTTTTAGTGCGACAACTTACGCTTGAGTCCTGAATCGTAGGATATCTCGTGTGAAGCATCGTACTTGGAGTCCAATTTTTGCAGAAACGGTATATGATATATGCGCCAATTTACGCCATTCACCTCCACTGTCAGCCAGAAATAGTCGTTTGGCACATGTAGGGAAAATTTGATTTCTTCATCTAGATTTAGGCTCTCTACTTTCCTCTCAGACAAAGCTGATACGAAATGATCGAGGCGTGTAGACCATAAATCAAACCAGGCGGGCATCTGCAGGGAGATAATTAGATGAAATATTAGGTAAAATACGGCCTTAATAGGGGATACTAAAGTAATTTGATCCAGATATTCGGTTAATATCCGTTCTAATTTGTCATCCGGATATCCGGTCAACATCCGTTCATTTTGTTAATGTCTCAATGTTATAAGCATAAGGTTATATTTTAATTCATATTATAAAAGAACAAAAAAAAAACATAGTCTATCCGTCTTTATCTCTATCCGATTCTGTCTCTATCTCTACCACTTTCTCTATTTCTTTTCTATATTTATCCCAATCCCTGCCCTTTCGTTACAATTACATTTATCTTAATCCATTTGCAATTGTGGTGAATTTAGGTGTGGTGAATTTAGGCATGGTGAGATTGAGTGTTGGATTCAGGTGTGGTGAGTTCAAGTTGATGAGTATGTGAGTGGTGAGTTTTCCCTATCTACATATAACTACTTCCATCTTAATCTCTTTCCTTTATTTTATTTTTACTTTTATCGTTATCCTCACTTTATATTTTTTCCTATATTTATCATTATTTTTACCNAATAGTCGTTTGGCACATGTAGGGAAAATTTGATTTCTTCATCTAGATTTAGGCTCTCTACTTTCCTCTCAGACAAAGCTGATACGAAATGATCGAGGCGTGTAGACCATAAATCAAACCAGGCAGGCATCTGCAGGGAGATAATTAGATGAAATATTAGGTAAAATACGGCCTTAATAGGGGATACTAAAGTAATTTGATCCAGATATTCGGTTAATATCCGTTCTAATTTGTCATCCGGATATCCGGTCAACATCCGTTCATTTTGTTAATGTCTCAATGTTATAAGCATAAGGTTATATTTTAATTCATATTATAAAAGAACAAAAAAAAAACATAGTCTATCCGTCTTTATCTCTATCCGATTCTGTCTCTATCTCTACCACTTTCTCTATTTCTTTTCTATATTTATCCCAATCCCTGCCCTTTCGTTACAATTACATTTATCTTAATCCATTTGCAATTGTGGTGAATTTAGGTGTGGTGAATTTAGGCATGGTGAGATTGAGTGTTGGATTCAGGTGTGGTGAGTTCAAGTTGATGAGTATGAGTGGTGAGTTTTCTCTATCTACATATAACTACTTCCATCTTAATCTCTTTCCTTTATTTTATTTNATCTCTACCACTTTCTCTATTTCTTTTCTATATTTATCCCAATCCCTGCCCTTTCGTTACAATTACATTTATCTTAATCCATTTGCAATTGTGGTGAATTTAGGTGTGGTGAATTTAGGCATGGTGAGATTGAGTGTTGGATTCAGGTGTGGTGAGTTCAAGTTGATGAGTATGAGTGGTGAGTTTTCTCTATCTACATATAACTACTTCCATCTTAATCTCTTTCCTTTATTTTATTTTTACTTTTATCGTTATCCTCACTTTATATTTTTTCCTATATTTATCATTATTTTTACCCTTGTGTTTATTCTTTATTCATCTGCATATTCACCTTCACTTTTGTCCTTATATAAGTAAAGTGCTTAATGTGCTGATCTTTGCCTTTATCTTTGCGCATCTTTGTTTTTGTTTTAATTATATTTTTTATCCTTGCCTTTATCTTTTCCTTCATCTATGTGCTCACTTTTACTTTCATTCTTGTATTCTCTTCTGCAGGTTCTGCACTTCACTTCCGAGGAGATTTCAACTCCTGCCAATTTGAATTCACTCGGAAGGGAATTGCAGCACCAGCCGGTATGTGCATACATTTATGAAGCACTTGTTTCCGTCCCAACCATTTCCGTTGCGTTTGCCAGTTTACTCGCAACCGCCGCTACAGAAGTTTCACACCAAAAATACGGATAGAACTCCAAGCTGTAATCGATATGAAAATGAGGCGAGCACCGCGTGATTTTCTGTGTCTACTATTGTTCACAATAAGGGGCTGCATGTGCTTAAGATTAGGCCACATTAAAGTCTAGACTTCTTTCGTGTCTTCTGCAGAATGCATCGCAGTCGATGAGAATGTGTCGCGATGCCTCGCTGGTAGAGTAGCAGAACCGGCAAAGATCATTGGACCATATCGTGAGCTTATATAGATGTCCCTTTAGTCCGCAGTGTCCTGTATACTATTTGCCTGCCGCATTCCTACCGAACTTTGCCAATTTACATATATCCATCCCTCAGTGTGTTCCTCTCCCACCCAAGCTCCTGTATCTATTCAGGTTGTCCCCTCCCGCTTGAAGAATTATTTAGCTTTGGTCGTCGGGTGATTCGACAGCTGGAATTTCAACGGCATCGATATAAAGATTAGAGTATGCAGTCGGATTGATCTACTTAGATTTTATTGGACTTTGAAATATTGGATAGATAAACTGCGCTATTTTCTCAAAGACCGGCTATAATCGACTGCGCAAGTTAGGTAAAATTAAGTTCGTTACTCAGGCTTGGAACCNTGAGTGGTGAGTTTTCCCTATCTACATATAACTACTTCCATCTTAATCTCTTTCCTTTATTTTATTTTTACTTTTATCGTTATCCTCACTTTATATTTTTTCCTATATTTATCATTATTTTTACCAGCCGGTATGTGCATACATTTATGAAGCACTTGTTTCCGTCCCAACCATTTCCGTTGCGTTTGCCAGTTTACTCGCAACCGCCGCTACAGAAGTTTCACACCAAAAATACGGATAGAACTCCAAGCTGTAATCGATATGAAAATGAGGCGAGCACCGCGTGATTTTCTGTGTCTACTATTGTTCACAATAAGGGGCTGCATGTGCTTAAGATTAGGCCACATTAAAGTCTAGACTTCTTTCGTGTCTTCTGCAGAATGCATCGCAGTCGATGAGAATGTGTCGCGATGCCTCGCTGGTAGAGTAGCAGAACCGGCAAAGATCATTGGACCATATCGTGAGCTTATATAGATGTCCCTTTAGTCCGCAGTGTCCTGTATACTATTTGCCTGCCGCATTCCTACCGAACTTTGCCAATTTACATATATCCATCCCTCAGTGTGTTCCTCTCCCACCCAAGCTCCTGTATCTATTCAGGTTGTCCCCTCCCGCTTGAAGAATTATTTAGCTTTGGTCGTCGGGTGATTCGACAGCTGGAATTTCAACGGCATCGATATAAAGATTAGAGTATGCAGTCGGATTGATCTACTTAGATTTTATTGGACTTTGAAATATTGGATAGATAAACTGCGCTATTTTCTCAAAGACCGGCTATAATCGACTGCGCAAGTTAGGTAAAATTAAGTTCGTTACTCAGGCTTGGAACCAAATTTATCTCTTTGATATCACTAAATTCTAACTGAAACTACTAAGCTATTGGGGAAAAGTAGTTTGGGCCTAAAAATAAAGCGGCTTTGAAATCGACAAATAGTTAGCGTGCGTCAATCCTATTTTCGCGAGTCTTCCAAGATTTGGCGTATTGTGAATGCCTGGTCTATTGTGGATTTGCCAGGTCTAAAGCCTCACTCATAAGGTCCAATTAGTTCGTTGATAACTCATCCCCGCCGTACTTGAATAGCTCGGCTGGCAGGCCGTCAGCTCCAGCAGTTTTGTTGTTTCCTAGCAGATTAATTTCGATTCGGACCTCGTCATAGGGAGTCGCTGGGATATCGTCTCCATCATCATAGTTGTTTGAGGCTGAGGTTCGCCTTCTCCACTTCTTATAGTGCTGTTACCACTCAATAGGATAATTTAAGTACGTTCTGAACATCGCTAGCTAGGTCGCCATGGTTATTCTAACAGGCGCTCGCCCTGTCGTGAAACCTTCTGTGAGTTACCTAACTCTCTGGGGAAATTTTCGAGGAATTTTCCTGTCGCACTCTCAATTCTTATTACTTCAAATACGTCTCGCTTCCCTCATCTGCTCTCTACAACAGTTCCACATATCTCGCGGTACGCCCGATCGCAGCTTAACCCTGTAGGCGGCACCTTTTTTTTCTGCAGCTTCATTGCATTCCTCAACGTAACAGTTGTCCTTTTGGGCTCGCTGAAATTCGACTACTTCTTCGGCGGCGGTATGCAATAAGTGGATAATTTGGCTCCACTGTTCGCATATGTCGGTTCGTTGAACAGTGCTCTCTGAGAGCAACTGTGAGAGTCTAGTGGCGAATAGATTGGCTGTCTGTTGTGACTGCAGCTTTTCTACGTTCAGTCCGTTATCGGACGTTTCGTCGTTGAGGCTGAATTTTGTCACCTTCTCCATTGAGGGTCCGGGCATTCCAGGTGCATGCCCTCAAATCGCAGTCCGTTAAGTGTTTACCATAGTCGTCATCAAAAGAAGGGGGTCTCATCCGACGTTGCAGACTTCAGGGAGCCCTTAAACCGAATATGTCAGAGTAGCCCCACTGAGGTTCCCCCTATTTCTGACGTGCCTAAGGCTTTACTCGGTGCCCAGAGTACGCGAACGAAGATTGCCATCTCCATCTTATTAATCTTAAGTCTTTAGAAATCAGAAGGACTGCTCTCTCTCCCTGCCCTTTACATTTGGCGTGATAAACAGTGATACTGATTTCCCCTTTTTGCTTCAAGATATTTAATTTCTTATTCCAACGAGAACTCTTCGTTTTTATTATCCGTTTTATGTTAAGAACCTCACTACAAATTATGCGAGGAATGCTTGGTGCATACATTTCATGAACTCAATGAGATCTCGATTTCTATCTATCAGATAAATAAATTTGGAACTCGCTAGTAAGTTTAAGGATATCTATTGTCATGTAGGCGAAGAGCAGTGAGCATTGGAAGGCATTTCTCGCCAATCCTGAGTGCTAGTCTCCAGCGACAATTATCGAGTTTGTGCTATTGCTTACAAACCTAAGTACAGCTTAGCTACTTTATAACTATTTTGTAAACAAGCAAAAAAGTCGAAGTTCGGGCGGAGCCGAACATTAAATACCCGACGCAACTATTAAATATAGTTCTTCAGCTTTCTGTAAAGTACCTTTACATGGTAAGCAGAAAAGTTTTACCCCTATTTTCAACAATTTCGATAGTATGTTCAGTTAGACTTAATGATATAAACTTATATAGTTATATGTGGGCGGTATCACGCCCATTTTACCAAAATTCTATAATAATGTTATCTCTTTTCAAGGGATTGTTAGTATCAATTTTGAGTACACTAGCGTCCTTAAATTTCGAAATATCGAAGTTTCAAGCATTTCTGAAATTTACTGTTTTATGAAAATCGGGCGTAATCTTAGTCCGATTTCAAAAATTTTCAACGTTTTGCTTTCATGTGGTAAGCTCAAGAATCATAACGAGTTTGGTACAAATTAATCGAACGGCTGCAGGTATCTAAATTTTTACTCGAGTTATCGTGTGCACAGACGGACAGACGGACGGGCGAACGGACAGACAGTCAGCGTCTATATCTATCTCGATTAGTTTTGCCTGTTACAAACAAGCGTTATGTGAACAAAGTTATAATACCCTAGTGCACAAGTGCGCTCGTGTATAAAAAAAGAGGATACATGCATTTTCCCTTCACTTACATTATCAAACTTTAAATCCATATCGTATTTGGTGATCGATGTGAAATTCTCAAAATTGCTACGCTTGCAGTACTTTGAAGTCGGTATGGGACTGAACTTGAGTACTTCCTTGGGGCAAAAATCAGTATCGGTAAGAGGGTTGTCTGAGAGCAGGAAGTCGCGCGCGTAATCCGATGGCTACAAAATTAGAGATAGGTATACATAGAATTATATAAAATTTATTTACTTCTCTCATACTAAATTGAACTTACACCAGCTCTTCCAGAGAAGTGCACCTTCGATACGTTAAGCGGATTTTCGTTGGTTTTACTAGCATTGCCAAAGACCACGTCTATATTGAAAGTATGCGGTCGTTTTGTGAAAACTAGTGGCGCATAGGTGGCGTTGATTTGTGCCTGAAAGGATACGATTTTTAAACAATGTTTTTCTATTAATACTTAATCAAGTTACATATGAGCAGCCATGTATGGCTTATGTGGTATCTAGATAAGTTTAGCTTAGTCAAAGCACATCGGGACGGCGTAAGATCCGCACATTTGTGATAAAAATATCGTCGAGTTATTTTGTACACCCGAAGAAATTCCATATGAAAATAACTGTTTATAGAATTCGTCGCTGAGTTTTTTGGTGTTACTACTTATTTTCGCAGAAACGTATTTTTATTTTTAAATTTTAAATTTGTTATCCTCCCTACGGTCCGTCCCTATGCTACTCAAGCTTATGACATCTGTGTTAAAACATCGGCATATAACTCTTTGTTGGGGTTCGTCGATCTAAACGACGTTAAATCGCCGAAACAACCTTTGAATCCGAATCATTCCGGCTGTTGTTCAGGCTTCCCCTCTACCACAAGGACTCAAACAGTGGTCGGCGAATTATATGACCAATTAAATGGCGAATTATATAAGCAAAGTACATAAGTTTCAGTCCGAAATTTACTAAGGACGTTTAAAGTAAAGAAAGGTTAGAAAAAATTCGAGAAGCTAGATCTAAAGTTCTGGGGCTATGGCTTCAAATTAAATATTAAATCTAGCCTCAAAAAGGAGAACCTTTTCACATTGGTTCCAGCATAGGATCCAGCATAAACACCAGCAATAACGTCAGCCAAGAGATTAAGCGAAAAATAACTTTTGCCAACAGGTGCCCCTTGGGCTCGGTAGGTAATACAAAAGCAGAGCCCCTTTCGACAAACACAAATTTCGCTCTACGAGTCTGTCGTCATGTCCATTCTTCTAAATGGCGAGAAAGGTAAACGATGTCGAACAAATCCGATAAGGCTTTGGGTGCTTTCGAGAGAACTATTCTATGTAAGATCTACGGTCCTGTTCGTGTGGGTGACGGGTATAGGAGAAGATGGAATGACGAACTGTATGAGCTTTTTAACGACATGGGCATAAATAGTTAAGCGCATAAAAATACAGCGATTGCGCTGGCTTGGACATGTTGTACGCATGTATGACGTCGCTCCGGTGAAAAGATCCTTCGCCTCCACACCTATGGGTGGACAAGGAAAGCAAGTGCTCCCACGAACAAAATGGAAGGACTAAGTGCAGAAGGAACCTGACTGCATTCGGTATTAGAAACTGGCGCAAAGTCACACAGGAGAGAGGCAATTGAGCATCGATTGTCAAAGAAGACCTTGAGACGGGAAAGTTGGCGGCTCGCAATCCCAGAAAGGGTCTTGATGGTTTGCAGGCCTATAATAGGACTTAACCTCACTTCAGGTCCTTACTGTCACATTATTTCGATGATCATTAGGCAATTAGATTTTACCTGTCCCATTTTCGCTAGGGTCAGGTTTAAACTGAGGGATTTTCTGGAACGGGATGTGGCTGCCTATTCATCTAATGATAATATATACATATACACATAGTTTTGTTTTGCGCAGTGCCTTTGCAAAACCGCATATCGACCAAGACCGCAGGGCGAAAAAACTATTTTTCTTTGAAGGCTTAGACTTGAGAGGTGGGTATTATCTCTAGCTATTACTTTACAAATCGGTTGTTTTCATAACGATTTTTATGCATAAATCTCGATGCCTGGAGTTCAGTGTTACCAAATCTCATTTTTGTCACAACTTCGATTTAGGCGTATTTACAACTGGTAGATGAGGCGGTTTTGCAGAGGCATCGACGATATACATACTTGAACTTTGTCACACACAAACCCTTTTACCAAAGAGCTTATGGACTGAGCCAGAAATTTAGGCAGCAGAATTGTGTGAAGCTCGGATTAACGCGTTTTAATCACCAGCAAGTCTGGCGAACTATCGTCAATGAATGAAAACCACAAGACAAAAGCCTCTCGCATGAATTACAGCGAAAATAGTCATAGATACTCTAGGGAGAATTGTATGAGCAAAGACAATTGTACTAGCACGAAAACAGATACAATAGAAAGGACGTCAACTACACAACCATATACCAAAGTATCTTATGTACTATGTGCATATCATTTTGTATGTGCATACATATGTAAGTAAGTGTGTAGGCTTGAGTAATTAGCTCTGTTTTCGTATTCCCCAGTACCTTGTCAGTACTGAAATTACTGAGGATACGGATGTCGGTATGAATAAAAACTAAGAAATTGCTTTCTCTTAAAATTTCAGACCTTTTACTTAAATTTATTTGAATAAATCGAGTAAAAATACTGAAATTTTAAGAAAACACAATTACTTAGTTTTTAATACACGGTAAAATTTCCTAATGAAAATAGTGCTTATTTTGTCAATTTCAACTAAAAACGCCCCATGAACAAATCCTTTATTAGTGTGAATCGCTCCCAGCATCATGCCATGAGATCTATTTCTTATTGGAATATATAGTGCTATAACTGTAAGGCACCTTCACATTGGCAAGGTTTAATTATTTATTAAAATTTTTTAATGTTTTATTTAAATTAATATATCTTTTTTTATAAAAATAAAGTTAATTTTATAACAAAAACCAGATTAAATCAAGTTGGAAATTTGTAAAAATTTTTCAAATTATAAAAGAAAATCAACAAAGTTTTATAAGATTCAAACTTTGTACAATTTTTACAAAAAATACATTGAATCAACAAAGTTTCATAAAAATTTCAAACTATTTATTCAGAATTTTTAGAAAAATATGCAAGAAAATGAACTGCATATATTTTTATAAAAAAAAAAATAATTAAATATTAAATAATAAAAAATGAAGTACTCAAAACCTTTTAACACGTGGCTGGCGTTACAAGTAAGTATTTACCAAGGAAAAATCCACCAGCAATTTGCAAGTTCCCCTCTTCCAAGATAGCTTCAACCGCCCCTAATTTATGATGCTTGTTAAAAGATTTGTTTGTTTGTAAATTTAAAACAGTATTTATAAGTAGTGAAATATTTGGTTAACTCATGTTTTCCAGCAGGGTCGCTTGTTTAGCATATACACCTGCGGTTTTCAAAACAATATACCCACCCTGCAAAACATTTTTTCAGAGTATTATGAATTATAGAGAAATTTTACAGAATTCGTAAGAAGTCAACCGATTTTTTGCCTAGTTTTCTAATTTCGATTCTTTTACGAAATTTCAGATGAAAATCGGTAAAGAAATCAAAGTAACACTGCTATGGGAAAAATTTCTTGCAGAATTTTTTCAGAATTTTCTTGATTTTTCGTACAGAAATTTCTTTACGAGTTCGTGTCAACCACTTCCTAAAATTGTCTTTGAAGATTCTTAAAAAAATCCTCACAGAAATGAAATACTCCTTAAGATTTCGTTAAGATTGCGGGAACTTTGGTTTGCAGGGCAGTTGTATTTACTTACATACATACATATGTACATATGTATGTAGATGTGAACGTATAGACAGGCCATAAATCAAAAATACCACAAATACCACGCATCCATATGAGAAATGAGCTCAATTAGGAATGAGGAGTATGCCACGTGGAGATGTGTTAATAGAGCGAATATTGCTGGCATTAGCAGCATACTAAGGGCGCTACATCTGAGGAAATAAAAAAAAGCATGCTATGAGGTCTCAGACGAGTTGGGAAATGGAAATTTAGTTCTTGTTTCGTGCTAATAGCTAAGACAAATGGTAGTACTGACTTTAGATTACTCATAGCTTGCTGCATCGATCATAACCGGCAGTATTCACATCTGTAACGGATGGACCTGCCTATGTAGATGGATTAATGCATTTTCGATGAAGCACATTTTTGGGCGAATAGCCACGCTAACAAGAATAATACGTGCTTAGGCGACTACTAACTTATGTATAGCACCTAAATTGCATACTGTACTTTCGAAAAAGGGCTTCATAGATATACAGGGTGTCCTACACTACCCGTCCACCCCCTCTGAAATGGAAGGAAATGAAATTGATCAGCACACAAAAGAATAAGGAAATGTTTTTTATTGAAAACCGCAAAAATTTGATCCTTTAAAACGGGGATGCTCTATCTTTTGGCGATATTACCGACTTCCGGTTTCGAACGGAAGTGGTTTAAATTGACCGGAAGCTCATTTTTTCAAATTAGGTATACATGTTTTTACTACAGATTCGGATTCTGAGGATAAAAATACGTAACTTTAGTTTGAAACTCTTTATTCGGAAATGCCTTTTTCACACTCTAAATAACCTTCGAGCTTCAACTCGATTTGGACTTCTTAAATGAGTGAAAATGTTTTTATTGGAAAACGAAAAAAAATGAATTACCAAGTCGAGGATGCTCTATCTTTTGGTTGTATTACCGATTTCCGGTTTCCGCGGGAAGTGGGTTAAACTGACCGGAAGTAAATTTTTTTTTATATTACACGTGTATGTTTTTACTACATATTCAGATTCTGTGGACAACAATATGCTACTTTTGTTTGAAATTTTTTTTTCGGAATTGCCTTTTTCAACACTTTTCAACAGGAGTAAAGGACGAGTTAAAGTTCGAGGGAAATTTAGAGATTGGAAAAGCACTTCGGAGAAAAAGGTTTCAAACTAAGGTTACGTATTATTATCCTTAGAATCCGAATATGCAGTAAAAATAGGTATATGCCATAAAAAAATGGACTTCCGGTCAGTTCAACCCATTCCGATGGAATTCGAAAATCGGTAATACCTTCAAAAGCTAGAGTATCCCTGATTTAGTAGGCCAAATTTTTGCGGTTTTCAATGAAAAAATATTTCCCAGGGTGGTCTAGAACACCCTGTTTATATCCATCTGCATAAAAATTTCCTTTAAGAAATTTTTGTATATTCACTACTCAAGTGTCTTATAACAGGACTTATTAAAGTCATAAGATTCTACTATCTGTCCCGATATCTTGGCTATTACAGTTGGAACTTTTGTGCTCGATGTCAGAAAGCATGTGGAGCCTGTGCCTTGTGAAAACATAAGTTTTTTTTGAACTACAAAGGAGGGTCCTAACATTTTAG